TATTTTGTTGCTATATGTTCTGGGTTGAATTGTGTTCCTGCCAAATTCAAGTCCTAACTTCCAGTACTTCAGAATGTGACTGTATTTGGAAACAGGGTCTTTACAGAGGTAATCAAGTTAAAAAGAGGTCATTAGTGTGGGCCCTAATGTCATACGACTAGTGTATTTACAAAAAGGGAAAATTTGAAGAAAGACACTGATGGATTTTGGATGTGTTGTCCCCTCCAAAACTCATGTGGAAATTTGATCTCCATTGTGGCAGTGTTGGAAACTGATTGAGTCATGGGGGCGGATCCCTCATGAATGGATTAATGAGTGAGTTCTGGCTCTATTAGTTCCCACGAGAGCTCGTTGCAAAAAAAAGACCCTGGCACCTTCTCTCTCTCTCTTTTGCTTCCTCTTGCCATGTGATCTGCTTGTACCTGCCAGCTGCCTGCCACTTTCCACCATGAGTAGAAGCAGCCTGAGGCCCATGCCAGATGCAGCTGTCCCAGAATCATAAGCCTAATAAACCTCTCTTCTTTATAAATTACCCAGTCTCAGGTAATTCTGTTACAGCAACAGAAAACGGACTAAAACAGACATATACAGGGAGAATGCCATGTGAACATGAAGACATAAGAAAGACCATGTGAAGAGACACAGGGAGATGACAACCATCTACAAGCTAAGGAGAGAGATCTGGAACAGATGTTTCCTTCACAGTTCTCAGAAGGAATCAACCCTACTGACATATTGATTTTGAACTTGTAGCCTCCAGAAATGTGAGAGAATACATTTCTGTTGTTTTTAAGCCACCTAGTTTGTGGTACTTTGTTATGGATGCCCTGGAAAACTAATATACTATACTATTCTGCAAGGTTTTTAATATTGCATCTTCACTATCAATTGATAAAACACCCCTATTCCTTTCTTTAGAATTACCTTTCGCTATAACATTGGCAGCCTTTTGTTCAGTCTTTAATTAAGATCACGCTTCCCTCCTTTCCTTCTCCCCGCTGCCCCTGTGATGCACCCAGGCATTTATTGCTACATATGTAGCAAGAAGATCAGCAAGTGCTTATGTGAGCTCTGGCTGCCATTGCATTGCTACATGACATTGGACACGTACATTAATCTTTCTCTGTCTCGGTTTTTCCTTTTTCTAAAGCAAGGAAATAACCATTGTTCCTGTATCATAAGACTGTTTTGAGGATTATTACCAGAGGTTAAGTCTGGAAGCTAGTGTAACAAGATTTTTGCAAATTGAGTTGCCAGGAAGCAGACTCTGAGATGGAGATTTATCTGCAGGAAGTTTATTGGGGGTGCTCTCCAGATCAACAGGTGTGTAGGGGTGGGGTGTGGGAAGCAGGATTAGGCAGAGGAAAAAGTTGAACAGTGAGGGGAGCATAGTGGCTTAAACTATATCCACAAATTTTTTGGCGTTCCCTTCCAAAGGTAGTGCCAAATTCCCACTCTCTTGAGTGTGGGCTAGATTTAGTGACTATCTCTTAATGAATAAAAGAAAAGTGGATGTGCAGCTCCCCACTTGTCTCTCTCTCTCTTGGATTGCCTGGTCTTGGAAAAATTAGCTGCCTTACTGTAAGGACTCTCAAGCAGCCTGTGAAGAGGAAGTGAGGGCTCCTGACATCAGCTAGGTGAGGGAGCCATCTTGGCAGTGGCTTCTAGCCCCAGTCAAGCCTTCAGATGACTGTGGCCCTGTCCAACATCTTCATTACAACTGCCTGAGACCTTAAGCCAGAACCACCTAGTTAAGTTGCACCCGGGTTCTTAACCCATAGACACCATGAGAAAATGTTTGTTGTTTTATTCTACTAAATGTTGGGGAAGTTTGTTACACAGCAATAGATAACTAATACAAGGAACTTTGGAGCTAGAATGGTCCTCTAGAGTTGTCCTAAACTGGGGCAAGGGAGAGAGGCCTTTATATCCTAAATTGATTAGTTATTAGATGTGGGCTGCCCCTGAGAAGAGAGCATGAACTTGTCCAAGGCAATTTTCTTTAGCTAAGGGCAAATTTTGAAGAGTGACTTGGCTGAGGGCTGTTGAGACCAATACTCCTAACAGCTCAGGTAACATGTCCTTCAGCCCTGAAGGATGGGTCTAGGCAGAAAGCTACAGTACCCACTTAAGGACGTGTAATGGGACCTCTCCTGTTACAGAATTGGCACTAGGCTCACAACTGCAAACTACAGCCTTAGTATCCCATCTTCTTTTTTTTTTTTTTTCCTTTTTGTCTTTTTTCGTGACTGGCAATGGGATCGCAACCCTCGGTGTTGCGCCCGCACCTTGCTCAGCCAGTGAGCAGCCGGTCTGTATGTGGGATCCAAACCCTCGGCGGGAGCGCCGCTGCACTCCCAAGTGGCGCACTGTAGCAGTGCGCCACCGGGCCGGCCCCTAGTATCCCATCTTCTAATGAAAGATGCCTGCAACTGGGGCCAGACACTTTCCCCAGGACTTAATAGAACACTACAGATCTAGCCCTGCTTCCACCAAATACTTCCCCAATTCTCTCCTTTCCAGTCTATACAGGAAGGCAGGGGAAGGAATGAAAGGAGGCAGTCGGTCTTGTTGAGAGTATAGTGTTTCTGGTGGGAAGTGATGTAGTGGGGAGGCTGTAAGGTAATTGCATCAGTGGGTCCTACTGGAAGGGGAGGCTGGTATTCTATTCATTGCTTGCAAATCTGTTCCATCAGCATTCTTGCTGATTTATCCCTATTTCAAGAGGGAACAAAAAGATTGAAGAGGGGTGGCAGGGTAGGTTGGTATGGCCATGGGGCAGCCTCCAGTCCAGCCCTTTTGTATGGCAAGGATGTGTATTTATTACTTGTGGGTAAAGTGGACCCTGTAGAAGATAAATGGCCCTTACCTGTCTTGCTGGGACCTCACCTAAAAGACTAGGTGTACTGCTGGGTGCTGGCAATGGGGTGATGGAGAATATCAAGGTGGAGGTAGATCTCCCATGGAACTGTATGAAGGAGTACCCCATATGTACCCTATTGAAGGAGTTTCAAACAAAGGCCAGTTATCCAGAGAAGCAAGGATCAAGTAAGAGAAAATCCAACAGTGGCCAGTTAAGAGACACTTGTATCATTTCCTTTCTTCTTCCTTGGTTCAACACAGAAGCCACTTGAAGAGGGACAGTGAGGAGGTATCTGAGAGCCAAAACCACAACTTGCACTTTCTCACCCCCACTAAGGAGTTACAGTCCTACTCAAACCATGCGATTGGCACTTTGACATGGTGTGATTTTTTAGTAACTGAAATTGACCAGAAAGTTAGGCTATCACTTAAGGTGCAGTTAAGGGATGGACAAGATTCAAAAGAACAGTGACAGAAGAAAAATGGACTGTTTTTGAAAGCCATCACAGAGAAGGCTCAACAAACTGATCCCACTGGTAATTGCTGGAACCAAAGCTCCTTGCGCTTTCCAGCATTCCATAAAGATTGTGTACAACCTACAAAGATGAGTAAAATCTGGGACACCTGTCCATGAGGAACAAGAAATGTTCTGTTGTAAAATAAGTATAAAGCAGGTTTGCTAGAGCAAACAAGTCTAGAATGTGGATACGTATAAGGTGTCTCTCTTCCTATTTCCCTGCATTGTTTATTTAGATTGATTTTTTTACCAGTTAAAAATGTGGGTGAGTCTGGTGGAAGGGACCCACCTCTTGAATTGCAAACAGACTAGAATGTGATTAAGTCCCTAATGAATTGTTTTAGAATTGCTTAGTTTGAGTTACCAGGAAAATATTCCAGACACAGAGCCCCGAAGGCAGAGAGGAGCTGAAAACTGAGACCAAATATTGGGAAAAACCACATTTATCAATCTTCAAAAGCAATTGTAGATATAGTACCATCACTTTGTCTTATAAAACACTTTAAATTCTCCAGGGAAGCATTCGTGATCCTAATTCATGAAATCGTTTCACAGAAAATTTCTGACGTCATCCTAAAAGTAATACACTTTTAGAAACAAATACCAGAATCGAGGAACTTAAAGGAAAAAAGCACTTCTGCACCGCATTATTTATTTGTTACCAAAAATAACAGAATTTGACATTATTGGAAAAGTCCTTATTTAAAAGACTTAACAGGAGATTTTATTTCGATAAACGTAGCATTTTGCCGAACACTGTATTGCTTGCCACCTCCCCCAATATCCCCATATATATCTGGTGTCGACTTCATTCAGGTGCTGCAGGTCCACCTCAGCTCTGAGGCTTGCATTTGCAGCCAACCTCCGCGTCCCAGGGCCCGCGAGCCGTGCCTCTCCAGCTCTGGCGCAGCCGACCGCTCGGCGGGAGATGGGGCGCGCGGCTCCGAGTGTTCAACGGTCAGCTCCAGAACGCGCGCCCTGGGAGCACCCACAAGCCCTCGCTGCCCCGCGGAGCCCTGCTGGCGGTGACCCAGCCGGCTGGTCGGAGCGGAGCGGGATCACCCGGCGATCCCCGAGACCTTGGCCCCGGGCCCAGGTGGGGGGGCGGGCCAGTCGAATCGCCCGCCAATCAGCGCTTTGCAGGCCGGGAGCTCGGCGCCCGCGGCCCTGCGAGTGACCGGAGCCGTTCCCGCAGGAAGGGCAGGCAGCGGCGCCGAACCGGGGGTGCACAAAGGGGGCGCCGGTTCCTCCGAAACGCACGGAGGACGTGGGGGAGGGCTAGAGATGCAGCGAGGAAGGAGATTTGGGGAGGGAACGCATTCCCAACTTAGAACCCTCTGAAAGCCAGCTCCAGAGTACAGACCCTCAGCACCGCACAGCCTGACGGGAGCTCCAACCCTCTTGCGCAGGCTGTGCCCGCGAGACGACCACGGCCTCGCGCCCCGCCGCGGGGCACGCTGGGAGTGCCGAGTTCCTTCCTGCGCTAAACGCGAGAAGGGAGTATTCCCGTTGTAAGACTGTCTTTACGGAAGGGGTGGGGCTAGTATGGTCCCGCCTCTCACGCCTGGCGGGACGGGGCGAAGCGTGACGGCCCCTTGCCCGCGTTAAGGTCCGCCCCTGCGCCGTAAGGAGGAAGGCATGGGGTGTACGTCCTCTCTGCGCTAGGGAGTTGATCCGACGGGAGGTGCTAGGGTCACGTGACGACACTGCCGGCGGAGAGGGGAGGGGGCGGGCTCGGGACGGAGGGGCGGGGCGACTCGTTTTCCTTTCGGGCCACGCGCGGCCGGAAGTGGTGGTCGCTGTGGAGAATTCGGGATGGGGACCTCCCTGGACATCAAGATTAAAAGAGCGAATAAAGTTTATCATGCCGGGGTAAGTGGGGAGGTGGGCGGACCTGCAGGTTCCGTTCTCTTCAGCGCGCCTCTCACGTCTGGTGTCCCTGGGCGGGGCAGGGGCGCGCCGCTAGGTGCGTCCTTGCCAGGTGCGTCCCCGCCAACTGCATCCCCGCCAGGTGCGTCCCGCGCGCGGCCGGCTGCCCTACGAGCGGCTGCCGGAGGATCTGCGGGGTGTGTGACGCCCCGGCGCCGGGGCTGCACGGTCCGGCTCGGCGTTGGGCCCCAAAGCTTGAACTGTGACAGTGAGCACTGAGGGCGGAGGAGCTGATGACCAAACGCCCCTTTCCTTCTCTCCTAAAGTGACCATAAAGGTTTAATGAACGAAAGGCAAAATTGACCTTGAAAGCAGAAATATGCACATCTGGTAGCCACATACTTTAGGCGATTTTCACTTCTAACAACATACAGAAGGTACTCATTTTTCTGAATGACAATACAGAAGGAATGGCATATTAAAATGCAGGTCTTGGGCCGAACCCGTGGCTCACTCGGGAGAGTGCGGCGCTGGGAGCGCCGAGGCCGCAGGTTCTTTTTATTTAAATAACAGCTTTATAGAGATATATGTAAATACCATAAAATTTATGCTTTTAAGCTGTACAATTCAGTGGTTGTTTATTTACAGAGCTGTGCATCTATCACGACTATGTAATTTTAGAACATTTTCATCACCCAAAAAGAAACTGTACACATTAGCAGTCACTCCTCATTCTGCCTCCCTCCTAACCCCTGGCAATCACAAATCTATTCTGGATTTTCCTGTTCTGGACATTTCATATAAATGGAATCATACGATTTGTGGTCTTTTGTGACTGACTTCTTTCACCTAGCTAGCATAATGCTTTCAGTGTTCCTGTATGTTGCAGCATGTGTCAGTTCCTCATTCCTTTTTATGGCTGAATAATTTTCCATTGTATGGATAGACCACATTTTGTTTATCTATTCATCTGTTAATGAACATTTGGGTTATTTCCACCTTTTGGCTATTATGAATAATGCTATTATGAACATCTAGTACAAGTTTTTATGTGAACATATGTTTTTGTTTCTCTTGAGTATATACATAGGAGAGGATTTTGCTGGATAATTTTATGTTTAACTTTTTGAACAACTGCCAAACTGTTTTTCAAAGTATCTGTACCACCTCACAATCCACCAGCAGTGTGTGAGGGTTCCAGCTTCTCCACTACTTCATATTCTCAAGACTTTTCTGGATCTTGGAAATTTTTCAGGGTAAGAAGGGGGGGCAGTAACAGTAACTATATACATTTAGTTTTAGTACTTATTATTTCATTTAAAAATTAGCACGTTCTATTCAGCGATAATACTCCAGCCAAGATGTTTTCTGTGGTTTTAAATATGATACAAATAATGAGAAGTACATTTAGGAGAGATGCAAGAAATGGAATTGTAAAGTCCACCCAGCTGAAGCCTTACACAGCCAGGCCCACTCCCCATGAGTGTCAGAGTTGAAGGCGGTGTCAGCTCTGTCCATCTAGAGCACATCTCTTGGTGCTCATAATGGGAACAGAATCTGCAGTCGTTTGCTCAAGGCATTGTTGCTCAATCTTCAGTCATTTTTTATGCTTAAATGCATTTTAAAAGGAGACTTTATAAGATGATTATAAAAGAAAAACCAGTATAACTTTTACTAAATAGATGGTTGCTATATTATTTTAAAAGGCAAAAAAGTGAAGCAAAGAAAAGATAATAAACCAGTAATCTAATCAACAGACAAAAATCTGTACCTGGATGTGTGTGCCCATGACTCATGTGCTAGACTCCATGATCTGTGATTCAGGATAGGTGGAGGAGGTGGCCAGCACTGTCATGACTGCTTCCTGAGCTCCAGGTGGCAGGACCCTTGCTGGCTGGTTGCCTGATGAGGTCTCAGTGTCTGAAGATAGTACATATTTCAAGTGTAGTTTGCACTACGGTTGGGGGGGGGCCTCTCTCACCTTCCCCACTCTCAGCTGGCTGCAGGTGGAGCTAATGGCTTACAGATTTTTCCATTTTCTCTGTAGCTTGGTCTCAGAAGCTTGGTAAAAAGATTTGACTTATCCATGGTCCTGCCAGAGCACAGTGCCAGTAATTGTCATGGTTTGCCTGAGGTGGCTGCCACCTACTTTTTTTTTTTTTTTTTTTCCTTTTTGTCTTTTTTCGTGTCCGGCAACGGACTGCAACCCTCAGTGTCGCGCCCGTACCGGACCGGGACCGGCAACGGGATCACAACCCTCGGTGCTGCGCCCACCCCTCGCTCAGCCAGTGAGCAGGCACCGGTCTGTCTGTGGGACCCGC